CCGTCCGTACGACGATACTTAATTTACTACTAAGCGACGTACTAGTCTAGGGTACGGAGACGAAACGTTAAGTATATATATATATATATATATATATATATATATATGTCTGTGTGTATTTATGTGTGGCATAATTAGTAATAGAAATACTTTCAATTTAATCATTGCACAAATAATATATAACTGCAAAACTTCGTGCAATGAAAGCAATTTACTGCTCACAAACAACAATATAATACAAATTCGTTTCACTTTATAAAAGTTATCCTTCAAATCATACGTTTATCTACCCTATTTATGCAATTAAACTACTTAAATATGGAAGGAAAAATATTATTTTATTCAAATTTAACTCTAGTGGTTTTTCCTATCCTCTCCACTAACTTATCGATAAAAAATACAAAATATAATCTCTGAGAACGTCTGGGACAGCGGTAAACCTACGGACTTATAACGCTAAAATCCGAGGTTCGATTACCCGCAGTAGACACAGCGGATAGCCCAATGTGGTTTTGTTCTAAACACAAACAAACTAAAAACTTATTAAAACCTATGGATGAATATTGTGTGAATAGCCATATATATTTATGTCGTATATGTATTTTCGTAGAATCAGTTTCCATTAAAAATCAAAAGTTTTGTTACATTTTGTGGGAAGCAAGACATTCTCAGATAATTTCGTTTTTATTTTTCGTCTTTTGATCCATACGTTACACGTCTTAATGTGTATACTCTAGAAAAACACATAGAGCCATTAGTTCAAATCCATGAATATTTTAGGGATTCAAGTTTCAAATTTATCATGAGTTACAGAACTGAATCTCAGAATTGTTAGTTTTCGGTTTCTTCTAATGCTTTGTAAACATTTAGAAATTAAGGCTGCTTCATAAAAGTATTAAAAAAAGTGATGTGTGCTCGCGCCTTTCCGCAATTTCAAAAAACATAGTCTATTGAAAATAGGGCTTTTTAGAATAGAGAATAATTTTGTTAAAATACAGATGGCGCTGATGTTCATCTATGCGTAAAGGACGAAAAGACTAAACAGTGTAGATTCAATAATGTTTTAACCGTTTGCTATTAAATCGTGATTTTAGTTTTTTGAAATTCACTGCTTCATTAACCTTTTCGCCATCAACTATGGAAAGAAACATGACGTGCAGATTTTCTCTAAACTACAAAGGTGGGCGCGTTTTTATCTGCTTATATAAAGCATTAATGTTAAATACCGTAAGTCACTAATTTTTTGTTTGTTTTTTCTAACAGTATCTTGAACTATAATTGTTGTTCTCGTCAGACGGACATTTATAATATTTTTTTTTCCTTTATCAAGCATGATATGAATTAGCTCTATTGGAAATATGGTGTACTTTCTATTATACCTAAAGATACATTGACCTAAAAGAGTTTTGTGGAAAAAAAATACGTTTCCTTGATTAAAGTGTTATATTATCCATAGATTCTCCAGTTTGTGCTCCTGGACAAAAGTCGGTGTATGGTGTCGGTAGACATGAGAGAGTTCGTATTACTTGCCAACTTGAAGCTGATCCCAGTGATATTACTTTTCGGTGGGGTTTTAATAACTCTCAAGAAAACTTAGACATCGTGACATTTAATAGTTCAGGCCCCATCAGCACAACTTACTTCATACCAAGGACTAAGTATGATTATGGAACTATTTTTTGTCGCGGAAAAAATGACATTGGAGAACAGCGTAATCCGTGTATCTTCAACATTATCCCAGCAGGTAAACTGAAACTTTCGAATTACTTTTAACTATATATTAAAGCCAGGAAATGAGTCTGTTTAAGATTCGCCGTATTCAAAGAGACACACACATAATAAAAGAAACGAAAGAAATAGGCAATTCATATATACTCATTGTTCTAAACAGATAGCGTATGATAACTTGTTCCAAATTAATTTTTGCATTGTTTAAGAACTTTAGTTTTACATATACTTACTAAAATGAAAGAGTTAAGAAATTTTAATTCGGAACTATTTAATCATATTTAGTTAAAGTTTTATACCTTATATAGAGCATTGCAATATAGGTAATCAAATTGGCATTAACAATGTATTAAATTTGAAATGTTTACTTCTGAAACACGAATTTTTTACAGGAAAGCCTGAATCTGTTAATAACTGTACTATCAACAACCAGACAGCACGCTCCTTAAGCCTTGCCTGTGTTCCAGGAGATGATGGTGGCTTGTTACAGCAGTTTCACCTTGAGATTTACAGTAGAAAGTATCCGAGATTATTAGCTAATCTGACATCTCTCGATCTTCCGGCTTTTGAGGCTATTGGTCTACCATCTGGCAGTCCTTTGAGGATAATTGTTTACGCTTCCAATGCCAAAGGGAAGAGCGAGGAAGTAACTTTAGCAGCCAGCACTCTCTTTGCTGCCGAGAAGCATACAGGTACGTGAGTTAGGAACTGTTAACAAAAACGTCAAAGTTAGTTTACTATAGGCATCGAGCTCAAATGTAGAAGAGCAAAAAGTAACAAACTACACTATACATATTTATACAGTTTTTTGTCATACCCTAGCTGGAACATGTCTGTAAAATATTTTAATCATAATAACAACGTTCAGTCACAAACAGCTGATATTGTTTTGTTATTATCATTAATATTGCAACAAGCAGAGTTGCATCGCAAATAAAATGTGGAAGCAGAATAAGTTAAGTCTAGGACAATTAGTTTTGCCTGGATAACTTTAGTTGATGTTCGGTTATTTACACATTATTACACTGTTAGATTAATAAGAAACATCTTCTCTCTCCTTTTTTTTTTACAGCGATTTCAACTTTTATGTTTTTAAGGATCATGGTTATTGCAACGAGTTTTTAATTTTAATGTTCTACATCAATAACTGTGTTATGTTAAGTTACAATAAGAGTGATTATACTCAAATCACATCATTATTTAACTTATTTCAATACCAATACGATAAGGATAGCGTATGATAACATTTCAGTATTACTGCGTTTCTTACATGCCACTGTAGAAGAGGCTTTTCGTGCAATAACAGCAATCACCAGGCTGGCTTGGTTATAGAATATAATCTTAGCCAACATACTATTGATACTATTACTATCAGTAATATTGTATTTGAACTGTTATTAATTAGTTGAAACCGCACATTTATAAATTTATGTTTGTATTATTGATTTAACAGGTTCGGTGCCTCAGGTATTCATTAGCCCTGTTCTGGCTGTACTTCTGGGCATCATACTTGTATTAGTTATCATGGCACTTGTTATTCTTGTGATTGTGAAGAAAAGAAGATCCGAGGTGAATAGAGGTAGAGTCAAAAATATACCTAAAATAAGATAGTGCCATTTTTTAATACCTGTGCTTTCAAACATGTAAACTAGACTTATTATGTAGTCAATCACGTTTTCATTCAAAGAACGAACATTTTATCAATGATTATGCCATTAGGACATAGTATATAGCAGTGGTGATACGTAGTGGGCTATAAATGTCAAAACAACATTATTATCTCTTACAACACACGCGCTAATATTGGAATTGAATAATGATTATTAGGTATGATGTGAATCGGAGAACCATTGATTCTATTAGTAGTTTTTATTTGTTTGTATCTTTGCGTTAGTACTAACTGTTTGTTTAACCTGTAGGAAAAATTAACATTGGAAAACGTCTGATGAATGGTTGTTTAATAATTAAAGTTCATTTGAAATTAGTTATTTTGTAATACTCTTAAATGTTAAAAAAAGGATACTAGATCATTTTAAGTTTCATTTATTTTTCATACAGCTTCAGATGACCGAGCAGTATATTAAGTTACACTACCAAACGTATTGTTTGTTCTTTAAGAACCTAAAAAATAAAACACACTGAGAACAAGTAATATTATATAAAACAAAACTTTGCAAATTATGCGAACAAATCTAAGCTTTCAACTGGAGTTTTCAGGTCAACATTTTGTGGCTGAGAAATAATTCACTCTCAACAAACATAATGTAGTCAATATTTGAACTATGAGGCAATCTAAATTTGTGGCTGGGTGGTAATTCTGAGGGCGTACAACGCCGCTGATATATGTAAATACTTTCAATATGAAGTCGTACACGGTGTTAAATCAATTATCTAGCATACGTTGTTTTGGCAAATACAAATATATATATGGAGATATTTTATTATTCTTATGTATAAACAAACCAACTACAATATGGGTTATTTCTGTGTATTTACAGAATAGACTTTTATTTTAGTATTTTATAATATAAAGTCACTGAGTTGAAAAAAGTGTTTTACACTAATTTTTTTAAGTTTATATTTGTATTATAATAACATAAGGTTATGTTCTTCCATTTTTCCAACCTCCCACTCTTTAGTGTAAATCAAATCGTGGGCCTTTCTAGAATTTGTTTAAGATGTTTCTGAAGACTATTGATCATAAAAGTCAAAGTTTATTACTAAAATTATTGTCGTTAATCGTAATTATTTCATGATATTCTGTACTACTTTTATTATGCCACTACTAACCAACCAATGTTTTTAGCAAAAAAGTGTACTTTGGGGTACACCAATAGAGAAACTGTTCATAGGAATTAAATTTTATGTAAAACAAACCTGAACATAGTTATTTTATACTAAGATTAGAAATGACTTCAGAATTCCTAATAAACAGCTGGTCTCAGAGATTTAGGAGGTTATGAATTCAGTTATGAATTTTCAAAGTTATCAGATTCGTCGATTTTGAATGATCAATGACCGTAGAAAATCTATCGTTTCATGACAGCTTGCCGGACAGCAATAGTTCATTTTTCATACTTTTTATAAATGGAGCTAAATGTGTAGCAAAGAGAGTAATTTATTTTTTTGTAACAAAGTGTAAGAGTATTGAAATTTTCAAGTCGCGACGAATGGTTGCTACAGTTTTTTGTATTTAAAATATAACGAAACATGGTAATAAAAGGGAGTCTATTTACATTACACACACACACACACACACATATCAGTAACATAGTATATTGTGAACGCATTTGAACAAAATTTAATTCCACGATTTTATAAACTATAATTTTAGTACCATATTGAAAAAAGGTTTATATTTTGCTTTTTTTTTTCATAAATATGAAACAATGAGACAAAAAAAGCAAAATAAAATTATTAGAAAATTTTCTTCATCGTTCACCGTGTCGTTAACTTAATCACGGTTATAAACATAATGCTAATTGTAGTTTTAAACATGATGTTTTAATCATTGCATTTTATCTTCTACGAACACTGCAAGCACTTGTTTACATGCGTTGATCTTTATAGATTTATTTTTCTATAGACGAAACACCTCCTACCGACGGCGAAGATAAGTAAGTATTAGCTATTAGTATATATTTAAATTCTGATTTTAGATTATAACTTTATTTGCTCAAGGCTGAATAAGAAACGAATCATTTTGTTGAAAAAAATTCAGTATATCTAAAGACAGAATAAAAAACTTACTATTTTAAGTTTTATGAAAAAATTCACATTCTATTCATGAAATACCCATAATAATTTTACTTATTTGATCATATGATGTTACATCTGCATGAAATATGTCTTTAAAACTACCTTAAGTTTATGTTAGTTTTTGAAGGATACATTACGCTAAAATGTCTCTGTTTAGATGACTGATCATTTCATTTGTATGACATTTGTATGAATTAAAAAGTATACAATTCATTCACGATTAAAATTTAACTTTGACATAACAGTAGTAAATTAGATTATTCTCATCGCAGAAACTACTTAGTTTGTCTTTTCTAATTAGATCAGACGATTTGAAGAAAAAGAATCTTGGAAACCATTCTGAAACGAAAGACAAGTGTCCAGATGTTATTCCTCCTAGAAATGTGTCAACAGGTTTAATAAAAATACACTTTATTTTCTCTATCGTTATTTTATAAAATAAACCCCAAATAACATATATAAATACTGCTTATAAATAATGATCGTAGAGTAAGAGTTACGCACTGATGTTCTACATATTGGGGTTAATGCAATTAGCTTATCACAATAAGTACTTTAAAATGGATCTTATTTTTTACAACATTTTGTGGCTAATGTTATATAATTCAAATACACCAAATGTAAACGTTGTTATCTTAATAAAAACTAGTTGAGGAATAAATTATATTAAAATGTAGATCTTTTTTATAAAATATTCCAATCTTTTTCTTTTTTCATTAAGCCTATTAATACCAGTTTTTGTTTAAAAAAGTAAAATACCTATTAAATTTACATTAAATGATAATAACTTCCAATTAGGTAAGCTATGTACTTAAAGTGAAACTAATAATCAATCTGGCCATGAATATAGCTAATAAGATATGCTTTTCTTACGTTTCTACCTATTAAGATTGGAATGCATTGTTTCATCAATTAGGTACCCCCACTGTGAACGATATTTGCGACCGTAAAACCCAAAATGTTATTACACTCACAATGATTTGTACAAACAGAGAAAGTTTAATATATATTCAGCACTCTACACGATAAGATTGTACATACTAGAAATGATACACAGTGAAATATGATTATTCCACATTTCAACCAAATAAGCAAAAATGCACGACCACGCATGAGACAACAAATTCATTTTATGGCCAGCTAAGAAAAATGCAAAACTGAGTGCTTGAGCCGATTGAAACTTTGGAATGCATGAGACTCTCTCAGAGTGAAATATCTTATGGCGTTTTACTTTTACTTTTAGAGAGTTCATCATTGGCTTAACTTAAACTTACTATGGAACTAATATCTTGAATACATTTGATAAAATGATTTTAAACGCATCATACCTGATAGTGTCAGTTGGATTTTAAATTTTATTCGAAACTTTGAATAACTTGTAAAGAAATACATTATTTTATAAATCATATATATGTTTATTTAAAAGTTTTATCTGGGGTTTACAAAATATGAAACTCTTCGTATTCTGTAGATTTTATTAGCATAAACGTAAAATGGATTTTGCATTATGAATATAAAATATTAAGCTCTATATAAGAAAGTGTAGAAAAGATTATTTGTTTGCTTGTTTGCTCTAGAATAGAGCCACACTGGTTTATCTGCTGTGTCCATCGGGGGACAAAAGGAAAGATTATTTGGTTTACCTCCTCCTTATGGAGCATAATACAGATTTTGAAACTGTAGAAATAGTAAATCTGTAATAATCTACCCATCGATTAGTTCTAGAACACAAACATTTTCTGTTATAAATTCAACTTCATCAAGCATGAATCTCCTATTCATTAGTGTTTTTTTAGAAACTGGAGCTCAAAGGAGTAAGTATGTAAAAAAATGTCATGTGTACTTTCTCGAAAGAGCTGAGAAATCAAGCCAGCATTAAACAAAGGTGGAAGCAGAACCAATCCCTCATTTAAGTTCATAATAGCCATGGAGAGTTTAGATAGTAAACGAATACCCTAAATTTTAGTAGTTTCATTACATTAGATCGAAAATTTTCAACAATCGGGCAATAAAAAAATGTTGATGCCTTCTGTAACGATTTTTAGGGTATCATGCACATCTGTATTTTGCTTTTAAGTCTTTAAATAATCATATTAAAGACGATTTTGTCGGAATATATATAGATATATATATACCCGATTTAATGATTGGATAGCAGATAGCATGTAAAAAATAAAGCTTCTAATATTCAGTGTGTTTCTATGGATTTTTTAATGGTTCACCTAATTATATTTAAGACTAAATGCTGCTAAAGTTTATAACATTTTTTTTTTCAGGACCAGAATATGCAGACGTTGCCTTAAGTGTTTCGACAAAATCTACTGATCTGGCCAGTCAGTGCATTTATGAAAATCTTAATAACCAACGAGAGCACACATATGAAAATATTATAAGTAAACCACACTATAGATCCAAAAACGTAAGTATTAATTGCACTACATAAATTCATGTATTGAATGCGCTCTTAGCAAGAAACTATTGAATGTTACGAAATGTTTATATAGCATGCTTCTGTTAGATATAAATGCAAACCATATAATTTCCTAATTATAATGATACATGATAAAAGTACTTGTATTTTCTAGTTATAGTGGTTCCTTTGTATTACTGACATTTTCTCTCTGTATGCGTTGCATAGTTGACTTATATAAGACGGTTAATCAAAGATATCGTAAGGGATTGGTTTAATGGCCCTTAAATTTTGGGTTTACTTCTTGAGTTATGTGCATTTGCATCGTTATCGTTTTTCGATAATCTTCCTAGATATAAGTATTTCAACAAGCTTCTCTCGATTTGTCTATCTCAAACTCCTTTACACAAATACATGCTAATAAGCTTGCACTGTCAGCAAAGTACTATAATTAAATTTTAAATCATCCTAGAGCACATCAGGTAAAAACTGAAATGTAGCAGATAGCATTATCGTAGAGCAACCCTAGCTGATCAACACGTGAGTGTTATAGGAAAAGAACATTTCCTCTGCAACTAAGACTAAAATAAAATAGGCCTTTTTTTGTCGAAATACCACTGTGACATAAAACAAAGTAAAAATAAAGGAGATGCATTTACTTGAAAATTACTAATTACTGATATAAAACGCCACTGTTTCATGTGTCATGAACTACATTTGTAATCATGCACTTATAGCTACTTTTAGTACATGAGGAACGAGTAAGAAAATACTCTTTCGATATAAGTCAATTACTAATAAATTCAAGTTATAATGAATGTCTAAGATAGATAATACTGAATAAAACCACTTTCGTTTCAATCTGTGATATGATATAAATATACAATATTGGAAATAATTATGGAAACAGTGAGGAAAACAGGTATAAAAGACAAACACTATGGTTATACAATGCCTTTATAGTGTATAAATTACTACTGCACTACAGATTAATCCAAGTTTAAAATTGTTCACCAACAATAAACAGAATAGGTTTCTTGTTGGCCAAAGGTAGAAATATATTGCAGCCAGTAAGAATGGTGGGAATCCGTACTAGTTTGGGGATACATCTCAAACAATGGTGTCCGTGAAAACTGATGACACTCTGAGCTCTGATAAGAACAAGCACATTCTGATCCATCATGTCATTCCCTCAGGAACACGACTCATGAAGGCGGGATTCTTCTTCCAACAAGACAGTGATCTCAATAATACAGCAAATGTGGTAAACCGGTACATCAACGTTAAAGAGACCAATACCATTCTCACAACCATGGCTTGACTGCACAAAGTCCTGTCATCAACCTTCTTGAGAGTGCGTTGGTTTATTTAAGAAACTGAGAAGATTAAAATACTATTGAACAACCTGGTTGAATTGTGGGGAGTAACTGAGATCATTTAAACCAATATTTCTCAATCCTAAATTGATATAGGTATGACGCTCTGTGTAAAACAAAGTGCGCAAATATAAAATACTTGTTCACTGTATGACTTATTCGCTTTTATTTTGTGTTTTCTATGCTATCGTTTGCTATAATTACTAAACTCACCATCTGGTTATCATTACTCGCTGATTATGTCCCCGGTATGGGTATCGCTTGTTTGTTTCCATAATATTGTTCCATTACTGTATATTTCGATCTATATGTATTTTTAGTCAATATGAATTTGAAAATACGTAAAAACTGTAAATAACTATTAATTATGATGAAACTTTGTAGAATGGACGACAACTACCTGTTGTAGAGAGAGACACAAGTGTAGAGGACGACGTTTCGAAAGTCTTCTGAAACGTCGTCTTCTACACTTGTGTTCCTACAGCAGGCAGTTGCCGTCCATTCTACAAAGTTTCATCACGAATACTCTATCAAAGAACTTTTAATTAACTTTTTTCGATTTTTTCTCATGTCATGTTTAATATACGATATTTAGCTCTTGGATGAATGGTAGATCATCCTAAATCCATTTGTTTTTCAATTTAACACGGTTTATACTGCATCCTAAATCCATTTTTCCATGTAACACGGTTTATACTGCTTGAAGAAAAACTTTTGCTCGAAATGTTGCAAGTTTTTGTTATAGACGTGTGTTTTAACATTTTTGACCATTTTTTTCATTATTTTTCCACGTCTTGCGGTCTTTTCTACTGTGTGTTTGTTCATGCTAGCTTTTGTTTGAAGCAACATATGAATATACAGGTTTGTATTATTTGGTAAAATTATGAGTAACGTAATCCAACTTTAAAGCAACTTTTTTTCTCAGATATATTTCTGCATGTGTACCAACAGATCGTTTACTTACAAAGTGCAAATTGCTGGAGTTATAATCAGTTACGCTAATAATTTTATAAATAACAAATATAGGGAATTATACAGACCTTCATTGTCACAAATTATTACACTGCTTACTTTTTGATACTCTTTTCAAAATGTATGAACAAGCCAAAACAGACAAATTGCATATATATTGTTCCAAAGCAACAGACTATCACAACAGTATCAAATATATTTTTATGGAATTCACTAAAAATTGCAAAGCACTCAGAAGTAAAGTTAATGATGTATCTTATTTAGCACTCCGAAATAGTATTTAGGGTTAAAATGTATTTTGCTCTAGCAACAGTCTAGTCTCTGTGGCATGGCCAGGTGGTTAAGG